CGCCAGATGTCCTGAGGGCCCAAGGAAAGAAGCACTTCACGCGAGGGAGTTGCACACACAGGAGCAGGGATGGGGAGCACAATGCATATCCGAGGCAGATCCCTGCCGCGCGCAAAAAGAGTCCAAGTGTGACCATGGACATACATCCGGTACAATACTTCGCTCCTTTTAGGGTTCGGAGCTCGCTGCTTTATGCTTGCATGCTCGCACAACCACCGCCAAGTGGTGTTGAACATCCTGGCGCTTGGAAGTGCTTATGAAACTGGTGGTCAGTCTCGGTCTTTCGAGTGAAAGGTCTGAGTGTTTGCTTTGAAGGCTCTGCGCACGCGCGCCATGGCTGCTGGTGCCTCCTGCTTCTGACCGATACCTGTTTCTGAATCAGGCAGAGGATCAGGCCTAGCTGACGGATGGTCTGAGACTTTGGAGCAATGCTTAGCTTGTGGGCGAAGCCTTCTTGCGCGGATCCTTCGCGATTTCTTTAAGCCCCTCCTTTGGCCGTGACACTTTGGAACAACCCTCTCCTTCTCCCTCTCCCTCTCCCGCTCTCTCCCCCCTTCTCTCCCTCTCTCCCTCTCTCCCTCCCTCCCTCCCTCTCTCTCTCCGTGGTTTTGGGACCCCGTTTGTGGAACGCTTGTTCAGGCACAGGTGCTCAATACAAAGGATCGAAACAAACTCCAAGAGAACAGGCAAGAATCCAATTCCGCTTGCCCACGACATACGCCCCGGTCGGCCTTCTGAAAAAACTGGCAAGCGTCAAAACTTCCCAAGTTGGATGGTAAGAACAGCCATGCACAGCCATAACCTCCAGTGCTAGTTCCACGCGAAGCCGGCCTGCTCTTGCCCAGGAACGCCGCGCATAGCGGGCTCGACGGGTCTCTCTTCAACCTCAGAGTCTAGGCCTAGGCACATTGAACAAACATCGCCGCAAAAACAAGTGATCGTAAAGCGATAAAGAAGGCCCATAAAATCACAAAACGCATGGGCCCTGATCGAGAAATGTAGAGCTCGTAAGTGAGAGCTTTGCAGAACATGCGCTGCTGCGACCTGAAGCAGCAGCATGCTCCTTTTGGAATCTGAGCGTGCTCGAAAGGTAAGGTTCCAGAGTGCAGATTGTGCTCTCGCCTAGGTCCCTCCTATTTGAGGCTTGCACCGTTGTTTCGAAATTGTGGCAGGGACACACTTTCGTTGGGGGCTCTTGGCTTCGTGCGTCCGTTCTAGCTGTTAAGTGGATTTGCATTCCGTAGTGCTGCAACTGGCGCATGCTGGCTCTCTCACCTGTGGAAGGGATGACGCCTGGCCGGCATCAGGCCCTGGTAATTTAAAGCGGTGCTTCGCTTCGCGTGTGAGACGAAAGGACGGGCATCGAAAGAGAAGACCGCAATACATTCCACATCTACAATCCTTGTTTGGAGGAGGACATACAGTATGAGAAACTTTTGCGAACCTTTACGTAGCGAAGCGGGATATGTTTCCATTCCTCCTTTACCGTGAACTCTCTGAGTTAGCTTGTCTTGGGCTTTGGGACCCTGGGCTGCCGAAAGAAGTGGACAGCATTTCAAAGTCTCGGCACAGTCAGCTGGGTTTCGAGCTGGTGCATAGTCTTTGCTCCTGCTCTTCCCAACGTGTCCGCATGCAAAAACTTTCAAAACCAGCTGGTGCCATTATAGACATGTCGCCCACTGTCAGTACCAGTATAGCAGCAATGTCCAGCATGGGAATGTGCGAAACGGTAAAGCTTGAGGCACCAGAAGTCTGGAAAGCACCACAAGCCAAGGTCCAAAGCAAACTCGACGACAACCGTCACAACCGTAGTTACGTAGTTTTACCGAGACTCAAGAGCAGACCGCAGCTCCCGCTCGAGCTCCCACTTCGGCTACACGGCAGGCCCGCCGAAGACGAGCCATCAGCTTCACAAGCTGCACCCTGTCCAAGACGTCCAAGCGCAAAGTTGCTAGTGCTGCTAGTGTTGTTGTGATCGAGGGAGAGAAACAAACATGGCGGAGGACAATGTGATGTATCCGTGCTACCTATAATTACTTTCCTGTACCAAGGAGTGTAGTGTGGAATTCGGCAACGTACGCATGCAATGCACGCAAGGCTCTTCTAATAAACTCCAAATGATGTTTCGAGACATTCTAGATTTGGGCATTCCGGCAGCTTGACGACCTTCTTTCTCCACATTCCTGCACAAGCTCAAAAGATCCAAAAAAATCTTTCACAGGAAAAAGACAAAGAACGAGTCAAAGAAGCCAACGCTTTGCTCCCATGCCTCAGCACGAGAAAGCTTCTTTACAGCAAACGGCCGAAGCGACGTCCCGCCCAAAACTGCGATGCTGTTTGTCAGAAACTGCATCGCAGGCTTGGCTGCATGCCGCGTCGGATTAAAGCCTGAGCTTCGCAACAACCTTTGCTAGCGGTATGGCTGTCAATAGGTGTAAGGCCATCCCCCAGTGTCCTCCCTGTTCACAGGCGCTGACGCCAATACTATAGCTGACCGTGTTAGGCATCACATGTATCAAAGGCATCTCTGACAGGAGAAGTAGGGCGGCTTGCCATTGCCCACCCTTTTCGCAGGCACTCATGCAAGCGCTTGTTGAGATGACATTTGGCTGAATCCTTATCGCAGGCATGGCAGACCACAGGTGCAAAGCCATTTCCCAGCGCGCCCCTCGCTCGCACGCACTGATGCCCGCACTGAAACTGATGACGTCTGGCAAAGCTGTCGTCATGGGCATCTGCAAAAGAATGAGCAAGGCTTGCTGCCAACATCCCGCCTTCTCACAGGTGCTGATCCCCGCGTTGAAGGTCACATCATTAGGCACAACTTTGGCTTTGCACATGGTTGAGATAAAATGCAAAGCAGCGCGCCAGTGCCCAACTTTTTCACACGCGCTGATGCTGGTGCTGAAGCTGATTTGGTTGGGTGCCAGTCTGGCTGCTGGCATTTTCGCCAGCAAATCTAAGGCAACTTGCCACATACCACCCTTGTCAGCTGCAGCGATGCTCGCGTTGTAGCTGATCACGTTGGGCAGGACATTGGCCGCGAGCATATCAGACAAGAGATGAAGCGCCATGTGCCACTGCCCGCCCTTCTCGCAAGCGCTGATGCCTGCATTGAAACTGACAGCATTTGGCACCACCCTTCTAGCCGGCATTTCAGACAACAGCTGTAAAGCCTCCCGCCACTTGCCGCACTTCTCACACGCGCTGATGCCAGCACTGAAACTTATGACATTGGGCACGGCCGCTGCTGCAGGCATCTGAAACAACAAGTGCAAGGCCATTTGCCAATGTGCACCCTTCTCACAAGCACTGATGCAGGAGTTCAAGCTAATCTGATTTGGCAAGATCCTTGCAGTAGCCATGTCTGAAAGAAAATGCAAGGCCTCTTGCCACCGCCCCGCCTTCTGACATGCGCTGATGCAGGCGTTGAAACAGATTCGGTCGGGCCCGAGTCTAGCTCTGGGCATTTCGGACAAGAGGTGTATTGCCAACTTCCACTGCCCACCCTTCTCACAGGCACTGATGCCAGTGCTGTATAGAACCTCATCGGGCAGGACCTTTGCCAAAAGCAGCTCTGACAAGAGATGGAGGGCCAAACACCATTGTCCACCCTTGTCGCATACGCTGATGCAAGCACTGAATGTGACTACATTAGGCGCAGTTCTGACCTTCTGCATGTCCGGCAGTATTTGCAGTGCCGGTCGCCACTGCAAACTCCGTTCGCATGCAGCGACTGCCGTGCTGAAGCTGAAAACATTTGGCACCACTGCTTTGCCTGCAATGATTTCCAGCACTCGAAGAGCTGCTTGCCAATGCCCGGCCCGACCGCAAACAGAAATGACCTGCCACGGCTGCTACGAGTACGTCGGCATGCTCCATCGGAGGCTGCAGCCCCGGCAAGAATCTAGACATCGGCGCATGGCCAGTAGTCAGCAGTGTGATCTGTCCTAATCAAGCACCCGAAGCCCGAAATACTCCCCCGCTACCTCTCGGAAAGCTCTTTGGTCTCCCACTTCGGATGCGGCCACATACTGAATGGCAGCTTGCCAGCCCTGATGTAAGCTGGGCCTGCTAGGTGCTGCCCAATCCACCTGAGGCCGCACCATGGCATATGCCATGGCTACGAGGAACAGCGGCTGTTGTACACTCCTTCTGCCAAGAAACCTGCAAGGGAGAGGTCCTAAAGTGCTCAAAATGCCCACAAGAGCAAAGGTGAACCACTTAAGCCTTATAATCGAAAGCCGACAGCAACCTGCCACTCCGACCGTGAGCTCCGAACTCTGAGCCTAACTGGTGGTGGCATCCCATGCATGCCACACACACACACGAAAAATATCGGGCGCAAGCTTGAACTTTGACTTTCCATCGCAGCCGGGCAAAGTACCTTGCCTGATTGAAATGCTTCTGATCTATGGTGTACTTCAAACCACTCCTGCTAATTACATCCAGCAAGTTTTTGCATCTGCAAAAGCACTGGCTTTGGGATTGCTCTCTCGCGCCGCAGCCGACGCTCTGCCGCTCCTTTTGCATCGCCGATAACCCCCGATTTTTTGAAAGAAGCCTATGGCTGTTGGCCCATGCAACGTGCGCAGCATCATGAGGGGCCATCAGAGATAAATTTGGCCCTTAGGTTCAGTTCCGTTTACAATTCCTGAGAGTTTTCTTCTCTGATTCTGCTTGCCGGATGGGTGTTCAAGAGTTCGGCGCCTTCCTGGCCCACGAATTTCTTGAATACTGAGCTTCAGATTCAGAAGCCGCATCCCGTTGTCTCCTCATGTTCCTCTCGGGTGAGTGGGCATCGCCCGGTCTCCAGTCCTAGGGACCGAAAAACCGGTTCAGGATTCTCCTTAACAAGCCTCCCCCTGGCCTGAGGCTGGCTCGCCCGCAAGAAGCCGCTGTTCTGACGTCGCTGTTCCCGTGTCTGAGGCCAATCCTGCGCAGTTCTCGATGTTGCTGATGAGGTGTTTCACAGCTACAAGCAGCATCTATATGCCAAATTAACGGCTTTTCAACTGACTCTTCGACCTTGCAACATCAAGACTACGCAGGTCCTGCTCCTCCTCCGCATCCAGGTCCATCTCCTGTACAGAGTTCGGCTAAGTTAGGTGCCCTGCAAGTTGAAAAGCATAAGCTGAACTGGCCTTGTGGGCAAGAAAAACACCGAGTGCCCACGTGCCTCGTCTTCCTGGCCAATCGTGGGCCCTGCGTCCGCAGCGGCTCTGACGGCCTTCAAGCTTTGCATCCGCTGTCTGTTCTGCAAAAGCAAAAAGGTTCCGGATGTGCAATGTGGGTAAAGGCATGCACGGGAATATGCGAGAATTGCTACACAAGCTTTGACGTCTTGGACCTGCGTTGGGGAAGCCACAGTGTCTACATAAAATGGCAAGAAGAAAAATCAAAGATGCTGCAACGCGAACAGGGCCTCCGAGGCCTCGGATCCCATGCCATCCAGACCAGCTTCTTCGGACTCGGCTTCCTCCAGGGGTGCCTCGGAAGCAAACAAAGTGTAGAACCGGATCTGAATCAGTTTCCATCCAGCTAACGTGCTGGAAACTCCCAAGAGCCCAAGAGGCTGAGTGGCCAGCACAAGCATGCGCAACAAATGCACCAGTTTCGCAGGTTTGCGCAGGTATCACACAAGCCCAAGTGCCTCGTCTTCCTGGCCAATCGTGGGCTCTGCGTCCGCAGCGGCCCTGACGGCCTTCAAACTTTGCATCTGCTGTCTGTTCTGCAAAAGCAAAAAGGTTCCGGATGTGCAATGTGGATACGGGCATGCACGGGAATATGCGAAAATTGCTACACAAGCTTTGCCGTCTTGGACCTGTGTTGGAAGCCACAGTGTCTCCAGAAAATGCATAGACGCCCCAACGCAAACAGCTTGGCTCAAGCTTCTGCAGGGCCTCCGAGGCCTCGGATCCCATGCCATCCAAACCAGCTTCTTGGGACTCGGCTTCCTCCAGGGGCGCCTCTGGAAACTCCCAAGAAGCTAGCCGGCACAAGCATGCACAGCAAATGCAACAATTTTCGCAGGTTTGCGCAGGTATCACACAAGCCCAAGTGCCTCGTCTTCCTGGCCAATCGTGGGCTCTGCGTCCGCAGCGGCTCTGACGGCCTTCAAGCTTTGCATCCGCTGTCTGTTCTGCAAAAGCAAAAAGGTTCCGGATGTGCAAATGTGGGTAAAGGCATGCACGGGAATATGCGAGAATTGCTACACAAGCTTTGCCGTCTTGGACCTGCGTTGGGGAAGCCACAGTGTCTACGTAAGATGGCAAGAAGAAAAATCAAAGATGCTGCTACGCAAACAGCTTGGCTCAAGCTTCTGCAGGGCCTCCGAGGCCTCGGATCCCATGCCATCCAAACCAGCTTCTTGGGACTCGGCTTCCTCCAGGGGTGCCTCTGGAAACTCCCAAGAAGCTAGCCGGCACAAGCATGCACCGCAAATGCAACAATTTTCGCAGGTTTGCGCAGGTATCACACAAGCCCAAGTGCCTCGTCTTCCTGGCCAATCGTGGGCTCTGCGTCCGCAGCGGCCCTGACGGCCTTCAAACTTTGCATCTGCTGTCTGTTCTGCAAAAGCAAAAAGGTTCCGGATGTGCAATGTGGATACGGGCATGCACGGGAATATGCGAGAATTGCTACACAAGCTTTGCCGTCTTGGACCTGTGTTGGAAGCCACAGTGTCTCCAGAAAATGCATAGACGCCCCAACGCAAACAGCTTGGCTCAAGCTTCTGCAGGGCCTCCGAGGCCTCGGATCCCATGCCATCCAAACCAGCTTCTTGGGACTCGGCTTCCTCCAGGGGCGCCTCTGGAAACTCCCAAGAAGCTAGCCGGCACAAGCATGCACAGCAAATGCAACAATTTTCGCAGGTTTGCGCAGGTATCACACAAGCCCAAGTGCCTCGTCTTCCTGGCCAATCGTGGGCTCTGCGTCCGCAGCGGCCCTGACGGCCTTCAAACTTTGCATCCGCTGTCTGTTCTGCAAAAGCAGTAAGGTGGGTACAGGCATGCACGGGCATATGCGAGACTTGCTACACAAGCTTTGCCGTCCTGGACCCGTGTTGGAAGCCACAGTGTCTCCAGAAAATGCTTAGACGCTGCAACGCAAACAGTTTGGCTCAAGCTTCTGCAGGGCCTCCGAGGCCTCGGATCCCATGCCATCCAGACCAACTTCTTCGGACTCGGCTTCCTCCAGGGGTGCCTCAGAAGCAAACAAAGTGTAGAACCGCATCTGAATCAGTTTCCATCCAGCTAACGCGCTGGGAACTCCCAAGAGCCCAAGAGGCTAACCAGCACAAGCATGCAGTTTTCATCAAACACCAGCACCTTGTGTTCTTCCTGGCTCTCCGAGGGCTCTGCGTCTGTGACGACCCTGACTGCCTGCAAAGTTTGCATTGCTTCATGCTGCGGTAGCAATTGTCTGCCTCCTCTTCTTCTTCTTCTTCTTCTTCTTCTTCTTCGTCTTCTGCTTCTTCTTCTGCTTCTGCTTCTTCTTCTGCTTCTTCTTCTGCTTCTTCTTCTTCTTCCTCTTCTTCTTCTTTGTCTTCTTCGGATTCTTCTTCAATCGTACAGTGGCCCTAGTGTTCACAACATCTTGCAACCCCGCGTGCAGTGCCGACTGGCAAAGAAATATGCGTAATGTGCATGGACAGTCTTGGACCAATGTTGGAATCACGACACGGCAGGAGAGGTGCACAGAAAATGCTTTGTACCTGGAAGCTTCTGCAGCCACAAGGGCAACAGTCTAGGATTTGCTGCTGTGATGTCTGAGATATCCTGAAACGAAGTATGCCGAATGCTCAGGTGCCTCCTCTTCTTGGTCTGCTCCAGGCTCTGCATCTGCTGCGGTGACAGCCTGCGGGTTTGAAGTGGCAGCAGCTGCTGGAAAGCAAGCAAGGCGTGTTTTTTCCCGAGGGCCAATCCAGGCAGAATGCCGATAAAATTTGCGGTGGGGCGCGAGCGCCGAGGTTGGGTGCTGAACAGGCTCTGAGCCTGTGCCTGATGCTGCTGTTCTTGCACTTGTTTTCTGTTCATCTGAAGCTGGAGCATCATCTTAACATCCTGGTTCATTCTCGCACGCTTTCGCTTGGCTGTCAAGACTGGTGGCATGCTTCTCTGATTCAACTCCGTTCACTGCATGCCATGGGAAGCTTGGATCCCAAATTGGGTTGATGCCTTGTCAAGATGCACATTATATGGTCATAGTGATCCCGTCCGACCAGCGTGGCCTCATCGCACCCCTCGGTGATCCCGTGGTCTGCAGAGGGTGGCTCCTGACCATCATATCTCAAGTCAGGAACTTCAAAGCCCTTAGGTCGCAGTTGGTTTCAGGCTCCTCCAAGAATTGGACCTGCTTCTTGAACTTGATGATATCATCTGTTTGAGAACTTCTATCACACCAAACTGACGCACCTCTTGTCTCGCGCGCTTCTTACACGAGGACAGATCATGGTAGGAACAGCTTGGGTTGGGCATTAATGATGCCAACCAATGTGGGCTCTTCGCTTAACCGAAGGCTCGACTGCAATTATGACCATCGCCTAAACCCAGACCGGCACCCAGAAGTAAGCATTCAAGAACAATTCGGGAGTAAGCGTGCACCCAGCTAGCCTCCTCCAAGATCAAGGACAAAACGCAGAAACGCAAACTCGGAAGCGTGCCCCATCCACAAGTACATAGGCGACAACTGTGCCCATCCAGCGCGGCACTGCCATGCCAGACTGCTGCAGCAGAACGGAATCAACGAGACAAAGCAAGATTATCCGCAACAACACAGGGCAACACTGACAACAAGTACAAGTACACAACGGAGAGCCGCAAAATCTTGCGCGTCACACGTGCCATACTCGCTGACATATGACGTAAATGAGTCGAGAGGGACATGCCTTCGGTTTGCATCATGCCATGCGCAAGCACTCCTCAGTTACGTACTGCTTGGACCGGTCTCCTCCTCCTGCAACGTCTTCGATGTTCCTTCAGGCTCCAGCTGCCTTTTCTGAGCGCAGGCCTGACACTTGCGCAGCCGTCATGAAGGGAACTTGTCCGGAGCCGCTCCGTTCCTTTCTCGGAACCCGCATCTTAAGTCTTCTGGTCCTACCATCAGGCCTTTTGGTTGATGGGTGAGGGCTGTCAAACGACCGTTGGTTTTTTGAGCGTTGCGCATGACGCATTCAGATTTCAAAAAGGCTACTGTGCTGTAAAAGCATGCGTCCGAGAGCTGACGAGAACATGAACATGAGGGATGCCTGCAAGAGCCATCAAAACGTGCGACTGTGCTTTGCCCATCTGCCGTCATCTGCCTGCTGCTTTGCCGGCATCCTGCCGTCATCTGACCGGCCGCCCAGCACTTGCTCAGCCGGCCAATCTTCTTTTCTTGCCTCACAATGATCTCACAGCGATGGGAGGGTAGACAAACAGGTTGAGGCGGCGGTGTGAAGTGCAAACTCAAGGGCAGAAACTGGAAGCGAAGTCTACGACGTTCAAGATGTCCTCCTGACTCTCTCCTGATCTTTCTCCAGATCTGTAGAGGCTGGAGCTAGTCACGTGAAGCCGGGCTGGGTCGGGCTTGGTTTCAAAGCATCCCCTCGCGCTTTTCGACCGGAGCCACGCTCAAGGTCAGTTGCGTTAGCAGAGAGCCGCCTGAAATGATGCTGCAGGCGGGCTTTGGCACAGCAGGACATGATTCTGCCCATAGGCTATGCCAGGCGCCGGATAGAATGGGACTGTGGGCAATGTCGAAATGCTGCCCAGCAGGTTTCCTGGAGGGCACAGGCCCACACGTCGTGGAGGCGAGATGCAGGGAGCAAGCATCCGCCGCTCGACCTGGTGAGAGAATGGCGGGTCATTCAGCCAGGCCCTCGCCATTCGCGGTGGTGCGATGGTAGCTTCAGGGCTGCGTGGTCTGCAGGCACCTAGGTGGAGAGAAGGGCTTTTTCGGGGTTCCCTACTTTGCGGTTCCCCCTTAGATCAAAGATCCCATGAGGAATCCCCAAATTAGCCAGCTTTCGTTCGACATGACCATTCTGGGCCCTGCCACTACTCACTACTCTGCATAACCTCACGCTGAGGAGCTCAGCGCGGCACTGGGCATCTCCATAACTAGCTCCGCAAGGCCTCTGTGAAGGCCATGGATTTGAGTCACTAGGGTGAAGATATCTGGGCCCCTCCCCCGCCGCTATCAGGCACCCTCTAGACTAGGCAGCCAGAGGCTATGCCAACTGCAAGACGACATTTGGTTCTGTGCCTTCTCCGCCTCGCCGTTGCCGCGGGGACCAGATCGCGTCGATGGGCGAGTCTGTGGCGACAGTCGATGGAGTATCTAGCAGCCTGTCCTGTGCAACTGTGCAGAAGCGAATGCACGGGTTGTCAAACCCTACAGCAAGGGTATGGATCGAGCAATTGCGCTCGGAAATGCAGAGCGCATGGGTTGAAACCTATGCATGAGGAGCGCAACGTACTGTCGGAGCCACTGTTGGCTTTCCAAAGACCTTTTCACGTAGTCGTCGAGCTGGGGATCAGCCGCGACGTAGGCGCTGGTACTGAAGCCCCGTGAGAAACTAAAATAGTAATCCTGAACACGCCATGCTCACCCAAAACTAAATCGTGCAAGGATGCTCGAGATTCGTGCAGTGTGGGTTGGCCTTGTGGTTTGGCCTGTGGCCTGTGGAAACACGGCAGACTCTCGAGCCTCAATCCTGACCTTGCAGGCAGTCCTCGTAGCTCCGACTTTTCCAGGGCGTCGATAGTGATCCGTAGGGCGAAGTGTTGGAGAGGATGGACCAGCCTCAACAGGCTTAGAAGCTGCCAAATGCACGGCATCAAGCAAGGCATCGTAACACATCGCAACAGTGTGAGCAGCCACCCTGGAATTGCTGAGTGCGTGGTGCCACCACTGGCGCTGCGAACGGCAGTAAAGAGATGCTGAAGGCTGTGGATATGTCACATGATGTCGCTGGCAATGGGTCAGGTGTGAGTTTATGTGCACTGATCACCGCAGCCCATCACAGCCAAGCTGCGCCCCTCTGGGGCCTCTTCCGAAGTGCCATGACCAGGTCGCGTGGCCATTGAGGGCGAGACCATGCTCCTCGTCTGATGGACGAATGCAGATCAAGCATGGAAGGGATAGGGGTCGGGATCAGCTTCGGAGTCACGTTAGGGCCGTCGAGAGGGGGGGACGAGGAGCAGTGGGGGCCTTCTTGTAACTTCGCAAGCCTCCCGGATGAAAGTCAAAGCAGACATGCTCGGTCGGCAGCCCAGAACCCTGGAAGGGCCGAAAAGGCGAACTTGCCTTGGCCCCCCCTAAACCACAAAAAGACAAGACATGCTGGTTGGGCATCCCACAAGGACCGGGTGGTGAAGGAAGGAGAGAACTTCACTGCGTGTTTGGCCCTGAGAGCACGTCATGAAGGAAAACCTGGACTCCCCTCACGGCGTTTGGTGATCAGGTCTCATCATCCATTTAGAGGCCTGAAATGTGTATTTCTAGCTGAGAACGGCAGGTCAAGTACTGATGGCAAAAAACTTGCAAGTAGATAAAAGGCGGGGGCAGGAGGATGGCCCGCAAATAACCCAGCTTAAACAAATTAGATGCACGCACTTGAACAGACCCGTACCTCGAGATGCACCCGCAAAGGTACTTCATGTCATGGATCCGAGGCATTTGACATTGAGCCTCCCAAGCCTCAACGGCGGCTGCCAAAGTATATTTTCGGGCCTGGCTAAACCATTCGCCCTTCCACAAACAAGATCCACGTACACCGAACCTTGATCTTGGAAACTTGGATTGGCATAAGAGTTACTCAAGACTCCAATGCAGCAAAGCGGCAGCATGTCTCGGAGTGCCGCTACTCCTGGCTGCAGATTCGGCTCATCTGAGACCTGCGTAGATGCAGCGAACTCATGGATAAGCTCTGGACAAGTGCAAAGACGAAGAGCCTGGCGTTGGCACTTGATGGTCGTTTTGCCCACCTACGATTCATTGTACACTGCGGGGCCCACTTGCAACTCAAGGATGTCCCAGCCAAGGTGTCATTTGCCTTTCTTGTAGGGGGCCTTGGAGCGAGATTGTAAGCAGCTTTGCTATTCGATTCGGCTTGCCCCTGATTGTCGTAGGATTCGACAGCGGTAGAACCCAATATCGACTCATGCACCAGAGTCGCGGCCGCTCTCTACACTCTTCATTGACCCTGCGTGCCTTTAATCGACTCAAACTGCACACCCCAGGACCGAGGCCTCGGAGGCCTCGCGACAAGATCGCCGGGGAGGGCTCCGATGTGTGCCGAGCTCCTCGTCCTCAGGCCAGTCGAGCCCAAGTTTGTCCTGCAGGTTTGAAGCCTCTCAGACTCTAAGTTTGTTTCACATGCCGAAGAGTCGCACAAAGGAATCTCTCTGGGCGCTCTTGCTTTATGAGTCCTCCTTGCTGAATGGTGTAGACACATTCAGGCAAGCTCTGCACTCTCCTCCCATTTCTCCCCTGCACTAACGTGCTCATCCCTTGCGCAAGCCGAAGTGCCGAAGCACGAGAGCCCTGCGTCCGGTGTAAAGCCGCACTAGTCCACTAAACTTTTCGAGAAAAAAAACATACCAAATTGAGAAGATACCTTTTCTACTTCAACTTCAACACACAGAATCTAAAATCTTGACCATCAGCCCCAATTGCACCCCAGCCACATCCTCTGGAGAAGCCCGCTTCTTCCGCTGCGGCCGCTCTTTGCTGCTGCCTGATGTCTCCCAGCCTAAGCTGTCTCTGAAGGGGGCGAGCGCGAGAAATGAGAGTCGAGGCCCTCGGGCTGGAAGGGGTGATCTGCATGATTCTGCGTGTGAGGAGCAGGCGCTTGAGGAGGACTTCGGTTCTGCAAAGCTTTATAGGGCTTAGGCCGTATTTCGTGTTTGCCAGCTGCGTGGTGCCGTCATGCCCAAGGCGCACTCGACTAGCTCCTCTGCGTGGCTGGCTCGCAGGTGCCGGACGGGCACCTGCACCTGGGCAAACAAGAATCTTGTCGTTTTGAGCCAGAAAGGCTTGCTTGGGCTGCTAGGATTCTCGGGTGTGTTGCATGCCCGCTAACATGTGCATGAAGGGCAGTGAATCTGAAGCGCTGATTGCAGGCTTCGGAGCTTTTCTGGACGCAAGGACTGAGGCAATCGACAGTAGTGATCTGCATGTCTATTTGAAGCATAAGTAGGGTCGTCTTTTTTATGGTATTTTGATGGTCATTCAATCACGAGGTCAAGCAAAATACAAAGGCGATCCCACATAAACTCTGTAAGCCTCACACGTCTGGACTTAACATTGAAACCCGAGACGCCGGATGGCGTCGGCCACAGAAGTGGACGGTGCAAAGTTGCGCTGCCACATCGATACTCAGAAGATGACCTTGGTGAATGCGGGCACGCTAAGCTCGACTCTCAGCACAGAAGCGCCATCCTTCTGGTACAGTGAGCAACTGGCCCTTGGAACCGCAATCAGCCACCAATCAATGGGGTCTCCTGTGCCAGCCAGGTTGCCCCGATCTTGCGCCGCATACTCGCCAAAGTCCACGCCGTCCAGGACAGTAACCTGACCAACCCGGTGTCACTGCACAGCATATCCTGTTCCCTCATGCGGCCGACATGACCGTGAGACTGGGGAAACAAAGGAACACAGGGCTCAATACTTCGGGGTGCTAGTGACGGCAAGCTAGCGCAAGCACTTGAGAGCATCAAGCGGGATTGGCGAATGCGGCGAGCCCACCAACCCTCGGCAAGGGAACCCAAACCAATTCAGGTCACCTGCTTTCCAGGCTGTAGCCCTCGGCAGTGGCTGGCAGCTGCCACAGCATCATCCCACTTCAAGACCATGGCGAAACCAGCAAGGCCAACAGGTACAAGAGGTGGTACAAGCAGCCACTTCAAACACAATGTCCCGAGCCTACAGCATCAACAGATTGCGTCCTACTTTTTAAGTCACCAACAAACATCTGGAGAACAGCATCGTCATTAGTGACCCGGAGCTTCCACCAACCTTTGAGCCAACATTCACACACGCACGCATGAAATGGGTAACAGTGCATAGGCTGCCCCTGTCAGGGAAGGTTGTTAGGAGATGTTGCGAGGTCTCCTGGGCAATTAGCAGTCTATGTCAGTCGTTGGTCAGCATGCAGACTGCTGCTGCTGCTGCTGCTGCTGCTGCTGCTGCTGCTGCTGCTGCTGCTGCTGCTGCTGCTGCTGCTGCTGCTGCTGCTGCTGCTGCTGCTGCTGCTGCACTCGCCCGGCCAAAGTTTGTTTCTCCAGAGCAAAACAAACTTGGGGGGGGGGGGGCAAAGTTTGTTTGTCCAGAGCAAAACAAACTTTGGGGGAGGGCGTTTTTTTGTTGAGGGCGGGGGGGGGAACTAACTAACTC